TCCGCCCCAATAGGACTGTGTTGGGCCACGGTGTGGTAAGGGCGGATGTGGCCCAATCCTCCAAAAATGCGCAGGTGAGCTCGCTTTTTAACACGTTCTCACTTCCCGTAATTAGCACAGACAGTGATACTACACATCAGAAAGGTAATATATTACGTACCACAGTATGGGTAGAGCCAGGACGAAGTTAAGACATGCCATCATGACGGGACGTTTAGACAATGACGGCTACTTTATATACTGAGCCCAACTGAGCACGACGGAATTATTCGGCGCTCCAACTGGAACAATTTCGACTTGGATACCATTCCACAGTTACAGTCTCTGACATTGATACTGGAACCGTATGTACAGACTAACTTTGTGCATTTTTGGAATATTTTTTCACGCATCGAAATTCGCCGGGAACCTGGATTAAGTGCAATTTGTTTATCAGCACGGTTCAGCTGACAACGCAACTGTGTAGGAAGTTCTAGCAGGACCGACCACGTGCGTCCGCCATCTTGGAGAAGGTTCTAGAACTTTCCGAACTTTCCTATATTTATACTCCAGGCACTTGATCGCAATTTGGCCTCCCACGAAAAGTATGCGTGTGATAAATTATTATAATTCTAAAATTAGGGAAAATAGCCCTTGCTTAAGTTTGTTTAACTTTCCACCCCCTACCTACCATGAACCAATCAACAACTGGCGACTCAACCTTGTCGACTTCCGCTCCGGAGAAGCTATACATACAGGCGAGGATTAACCTCCGGGAACCCCGTGGCCGGTCGCCGCTCTCCAGACGTCGGACCTCCGTCACCCTCTCCGTTGGACCTCGGCAATCCCAGTCGCCTTCGGACAATCCCCTTAGATTCAGCTTATTTTTGTAATAAGGACTTTCCCCTAGTTTCTTTTTGTACATAGGTCTGCTAGTAAAATATTGCCTAGCCTGTCTTATCCTTGGGCCTCGTGACTACTGCACTTACGTCAGGCGGGGTCGTTACAACTGGCTACGCAACCGATTCGCGGTATACAGCCTAGAAAACCAATCGCTCAAAATCCTTCAAGGTCTGCAGTTATTCAAGTCCCACGAGATCTGGAAAGGGCTAAGTCGCTTCTGATTAAATTCAACAAAATTTATCGGAATTTAAGTATTTTTTCGCTTATTGAGTTTTGAATACTCACTTTAATTCATCATATATAAGCCGACGTATTCGTTATAACATCGAAAGCGGAATTATACCTATTATATCACGTCGAAGTTTATGGATTCTCAGCAAGCTAACTGTAGTAGTACGGCCAGCGACGGCACCTCTTTGGAAGATAAGTCCGGTGAGTTGTCCTTCGCATCCAGACCCTGTGCTCGCTCTACCTTCGCCACCAGCCAACGACCAGCAAAGCGTGCAAAAAGCGTAAATACCGCAAAAAGTGTGAGGTACGAAGACGAGCCTTGTGCTGGGTGCGCAGATATTCAAATCAAAGTAGAACAACTGGAAAAGGAGCTTGATGATTTAAGGACGCTCGTGAAACAGACCGTAGTTGGCCAGAACGTGTCCAGTGTTAGAATCCCAAAAACGAAGGGCAAAACGCAAAAAACGCGAAAAATATCTCCTCGGGGGAATCTTCAAACACGAGTAGCAACTCAACAGCCAAAACCGCAGACGCCGGTAACAGCAGGACAGTGAAAACGAAGCCGCCGATAAAGGGAGACTCGATTCCCACGCACGATGTCTTAAGAGATGTCGCAAAAAAATTACCTGTCGCGGAAGCCATCTCACCTAAACCTCTTGCTGTAAGTGGTGGGATTTCTGTTCTGCCTGGAGACGATATACCTGGGTCATCAAGTCTACTGTTGCCCTCTTGTTCTGGCAACCACCCCGAGCGCACTACAGAGCACGTATCTGGATGTGAAGACATAAACCCGTGGGTAGAGGGGAGAGGGAAACGCCATGACAGGATTCTGAAGTCCCAGCCAGCCCTGATGGGTTGCTCGGGACAGTCGGTAGACAGTAAAAGTGTGCGTCCAAGCGATGACTGCGTAAATCGTCCTCGTCCACATGCAGCGCATTCACCGGAAAGACAGAGTAAGGAGGACTATGCTCGCCAGCAGTGTCTGGTTATTCAGGGTTTGTCAGAATCGAATGCAGTCAGACCTGAAGACCGTGTCTCAGAGGACCTTGCTTCTTTTCATGGTCTGCTAAATCATTTACTGCCGGCAGACATGGAAATAAAGGTTCTGAAAGCATTCCGGATAGGAAAAAGGAGTGAAGACAGGACAGTAGCACAACCACCTCGCCCTCTCAAAATTATGCTCGAGAACAAAGAGCAAATCAAGTTTATCCTCTCTAAAAAAACCGATCTCAGAAACACACACAAGCAGGTTTTTTCAACCGGACTATGCACCAGCGGAACGGTTGAAACGCCGGGAACTTGTCTTGGAGTTAAAATCAAGACTGAAGGATGGCGAACACAATCTGGCTATCTTCAAGGGGAAGGTAGTTCGAAAATATATGCCGTTTCAGTGGAACCAGCATGGGTTTTTACCTGAACGATCCTGCGAAACATGCCACTTGGCTTTTCTTAATCTAATCACTTCTCTTCGTAATGAGCGGCAGTCAGTGGTTGTTATTTACTTTGATCTTAGCAAAGCCTTTGACAAGGTGCCCCAT